GTGGGCTGCAGTCCATGGGGTCGCACAGAGTCGGACACGACTTAAGTGACAGCAGCAGCAGAAGGAAACCAGTGTTGCCCAGACTCTAAGGTATAAGAAAGCAGACAGTGGAAGTGGTCAGTGAGTCAGGGCCAGAAGGTGAAAGTGAGGGAATGAGGGGAAATTAAAAAGATAAACCAAGGACTTCTGCTCCCATTCACTTTGGGAAAACTGGGATCAGACTCACCCTGCCATCACAGACAGCTGGAAACTGGAGATCCTGTGTGAGACAAGGACTTTCAAACTGGAAAACACGCAGCACAGATCCATGATCCCTGAGGAAGAGGCTACAAACTAAGTGAATCCTGTCATTGCTTCAGCTTTCTGCCTGGGGGCACTTACAAGCCGCGGTACAGAAGGGGCTTCTCCTGGAAGAATACAGAAGTCTTGAAATTAGGATCAGAGATTAGAGTTTGGGGAAGCTGAGAAACTGGGATTTGTGGCACAGAGCTCATCAGAAGGTTGCTGCCCGGACAAAGAGAACCAGGCTCCCGGTTGTGGAGCTCCTGGAGACTCTGGCTGAATGAATGCTAAGTCATGAGCAGAAGACGAAATGCCCTAGGTCTGAGCGGAGAACTCCCAGGGAGCCATGCGCTCAACAATTCCTAGAGCTCCCAGGGGAACTGAGTTCTAACCAATCAAAGGAAAAGACTTTGTTGAACATACAGATACCCAGTCAATACGTCAGAAGAGTCATATCACAGCAGGAAGGCCAAACTCGTCCTAGAACAGAGGCTGAAGTCCTTTAAAATAAGATTCCAAAGTGTCAAACTGATCCCGAAGGGACTTAACTGCCTGCCAGGACAAAGTCCCTATTAAGTCAACAAAATCTAGGCACACAGCAACATACATTAGCAATGTCTAGCATCCAATTTAAAAATTACTAGGTAAGGCAAGAAATAAGAAAATGTGACCCTAAACTGGAGAAAACTCATTTGAAGGAAACAAACCAAGAAAGGAAAGAAAATGGAATTCACGGAGAAGCATAATAAAATAGCTATTAAAATATGTTCAGTGTGCTCAAGGATTTAAAGAAAAACAAATCTAACAAGAAAAATGAAAGATTCCAGAAAACTAAATGGGAATTCTAGAGATAAAGTATCTGAAATGAAAAATAATTTATATTTTATGTGATTTATTTTAAATTTTTTCCAGTTTTATTGAGATATAATTGACAACAAACAACCCAATCAAAAAACGGGCAGAAGACCTAAATAGACATTTCTCTAAAGAAGATATACGGATGGCCAACAAGCACATGAAAAGATGCTCAACGTTGCTAATTATCAGAGAAATGAAAATCAAAATCACAATAAGGTATAGCACACACCAGTCAGAATGGCCATCATCAAGAAGTCTACACATAAAAACATGTTGGAGAGCGTGTGAAGAAAAGGGAACCCTCCTACACTGTTGAGGAAATGTTATTGTTGCAGCTACTATGGAAAACAGTTTGTAGGTTCCTCAAAAAACTAAACCTAGAACTACCATACGATCCAGTAATTCCACTCCTGGGCATAAATCTGAAAATGGAAACACTAATTTGAAAAGATAAAAGCAGCCCAATGTTCACAGCAGCACTATTTACAATATGGAAGATATGGAAGCAACTTAAGTGTCCATCAATACATGAATTTAGATAAAGAAGATGTGTATAAACTTATATATACACAATGGAATACTACTCAACTATAAAAAGTATAAAAATGTTGCCATTTGCAACAACATGGATGGACTTGGAGGGCATTTAGTGAAATAAATAAGATAAAGACAAATACTGAATGTTATCATTTATTTGTGGAATCTAAAAAATAAAAAGAATGAATATAACAAAACAGAGACAGACAGACAGAGAACAAACTAGTGGTTACCCATGGGGAAGAGGAAATCGGAGAGAGGCAAGATAGGGATTTGGGATTATGAGATACAAACTACCATCTAGAAAATAAATAAGCTACAAAGATATATGGCATAGGAAATATAGCCAACATTTATGATAACTTTAAATGGAGTATAACCTATAAAAATTTTGAATTACTATGTTGCACACCTGAAACAAATACAATATTATATTAATAAATCAACTACACCTCAACTGTAAAAAAAGAGGAAAACTTCTGAACAACGATAGGACAAATAGAAAACAAACTAATAGCAAGACTCTAGATTTAAACCCACCCACATGATAATTACATAAGAAGTAAGTGATCCAAATGCTCCAATTAAAAGGCCAGGTTTGTCAGGCTGAATATAAAAGCAAGATCCAACTCTCTGCTGCCTACAAGAAGAGAGATTCCCTCTTTAAGAATAAAGATACAAGTAAGTTTAAAAGGATGAGAAAAGATACATCATACAAACACGTTGTAAGAAATCTGCAGGGCTATATGGATATCAAAGATACCAGACCCAGGGCAAAGGAAGGGAAACGGATGTCCAGGGTCTGGAGCCGGGTTGCAGGTGACAGCAGCTAAGAAAATAAAATTTACATTTTTAGGCAGGACAAGAAAATTTAAACACAAAATTGCCTCTTTCTGTCCATTTGGACCTCCTCCCTCCCATGTGCAGTGCACATTTCTGCTGCATATTAACCATATGCATATTAACCATATGCATATTAACCATATGCATATTAAGGTTCTCCAAGATGAGAGTGCCTGCTGGAAGATCATTTTCCACCCTTTCTTCTGATTCTATCAATGTAACTTCGTAAAAGACCAGCTTCTTTCAAGAAGCTTCTTTCTCAGCTCTGTAGGGGGTTATGTATGGGCTTACCTGGACTATAATATCCTATATCGCTAGGGGACTTCATGTAAAAAAATTAACATGCCATTTTGATATACAATCTTTTGTCTCGAAAAAGTATATGATTGTGCCTTTGATTTCTAATAGGTGGAACTGTTCTCAGAGCTTTCTATCTTCTGGGTTGTAATCCTGAGTTTGGCTCAAATAAAACTTCCTTTTCTTCTTAGCGTGATGGTTAATTGAATTTTTGTGAACACAGCAGTCCTGGCTAATGGACAGAGATAAGACAGAATCAGAATCACCTAGAGAGGAACGCTGACATCACCAACTGCTGGGCTGCATCCCCAGAGTTTCCCATTCAGCAGGGCTGGGATTGGTCCTGAAAATTTGCATTTCTGACAAGCCTCCGGTGACGCTGATCCTGCTGGTCAATGGATTCACTGGGGGAGCCACTGGCTCCGAATGATCCTCTTCTTTCTCTTTAAAATGAACAATTAAGTGAGGAATCTGAAAGTGTAGGTATAGATTTCCCTTCAAATTGACTGATTAGAATTAATTGAGATGGGAGTTGGGATACTAAGGAAACGGAGGATTCAACTCTAGCCAGCTACCTGGGGAGTGGTGCCTCTGAGTCAAGGAAATACAGAAGAAATCGATTTAGGGTGGAAATAATGAGCCCAATTTTAGATTTGTTGAATTTTAAATACAGTACTCATATATCCTTCTCACTTTTCCAAAAAGGTCAGTGCACTGGCTGAGTCATTTTATCATAGTTTAATTATGTGCCTTAAATGGGCATTTCCAAGCTGTGGGGGAAAAAAAATATCTGCGTGAGATGTTTGCTGGCCCCAGGTGGGCCTTCCTGACCTCTGCGTTTGCGTCAGACACTTGGCGTCTTGGAAGGTGCACATAGTCTGAGGCAAATGTCAAGTCAACTCGGATTCGAGATCTAAGAACCCAGTGGACCTCGCGCCCTTTACCGCAAGGGAGGGAGGTACTGGCCTCCTTTTCCTACCAGTCTGGATAAAACTGCTTGAAGTGTAACGTAGCTTTCCTATTCCAAAGATTTTGTATTATTTTACCAGGAGTTGGAAAAATGGACGGCGCCTAAACTCTTTCTCCCTAAAGGAAAGGGATGATAATAACGGAGAAGTTTAAAATATCTCCATCGCAAAACGCTTACAGTTCAGAAGGTATGAAGCATCGCCAAGGATTTCCCAGCGGAAACAGCTTCTGCTGTCTACGAACACTGGGCGCAGCCCAGGGGCACAGCTCGCGCCTCGTTCCCACCCCGAAAGCGCTGGACTGGCGCGGCCGTCCCTTCATTTCCCGTTACTTAGCAACGTCCCGGTAAATGGAGACAATGCCCTGTGAATCTACAGTGCCTTGTGTATTAAGCATTTCTCCTTTCACTGCCCCCCTTGGGGGTGGGGTGGGTGTATTGTGTGTTCTTTAGTAATGGATGGCTACTGGCCGCGCCCAGCACGCTTGGTCCAGGAACTGACCCGCAAGCAAGGATGAAGACGCCAAAGGCTCAGGTCCCCAGAGCCCGCGAGGACCACGGCCTAAGACCCTGCCTTTACCCCTCACCTCCCTTCCCCCAGCCCCTGGGCGACGCGCGCTCCGAGTGGAGAGCCGGGCCAGACGGGGGGCGCGGGGCCGAGCCGGGAGCGCGCGGAGCTGAGCGCGGGGTCGGGCAGCGGGCCCGGGGGGCGCGCGGAGGGCGCGGAGCCCCGGTGCGGGAGCCCCGGTGACGCATCAGTGACGTCGACGGCGGCGGGCGGGATTTCCCGGCCCCTCCCGGGCGCCCGGCGAGACCCCGCCGTGGAGTGGGGGCGACAAAACGCGGACGCGGGGAGGCCGGGGCCGGGGGTCCGCGCTCTGCGGGGGCCGGGGCTGGCCGCGCGCCCGGAGCCCGGCCTGGGGTGCCGAGCAGAGTGCTTGCTGTCCGAGGACTGCACGCTCCAGCGGGGCCGGGGCTCGGCCTCACGTGGTCTTTCCCCCGCCCGGGCCGGGAGGCGCGGGGCGGGCGGGGCCGGTGACGCGGCGCGGAGACCCCGCGGGCGGAGGAGGGGCGGCGCGGGGCGCGCGTTTCCACCGCTAGCGGGTCTGTATCGAGGTGCGGCAGTCCCGGAGCGGAGCCGGCCCCGGGCTTGAGGGGCGATGCCACTCGGTCTGGCCGCCCCCCGCGAGCACCGCCCCGGAGACAAAGCCCGAGCGTGAGCGGCGCCCTCGGCCCGGGTAAGTGGGCGCCCGCCGGCGGGTCGGTCGGGGCGTGTCGGTGGGGAACGGTGGCACAGCCCTTGCTCCTGTGAGCTCGGGGCGAGCCGCAGACAAAAGGGAAACTCGGGCTGGACCGTCTCTGGAACTGGAGAGACGGGTCTGCTGCCTGCGTCGTCCTGCAGCTGTCGGGGGAAGCTCGCGAAACGCACACCTGTGATAATCGGCCGCGCACGCCGAGCCCGGCCCTCGCGGCACCGGCACAGGTGGGTATCAGCGGCCCGGCGGGGGCTCCTCGAATCCGGGACCGTCCGCAAAGCCCTTGGGAAACCCGAGCGCAGGTTTGGACAGACAACTCGGAACGTTGAAGGGGTCTCCTGGGGGTCGCGGTCGCCCCATTTGTCCGGCTTGAAGCAGGGGAAGCTCCTGGGGACCCTGTTTCCGTAAGTAGGTCATGGCAGGGACGTCCCCCATTGAAGAAGTGGAGGGGCCAGTAGTAGCGGAAGAGGTGGAGTGGCTAGTTGGTCATTTTATTGGGGGAAATTTCTTTGGGCCCGAAGAAGCCCTCTTGATTCCTCATCACCGGGACACCTGCTTTGGGAGCAGTTCCGGCGGCGTCAATGGACCACGGGGCCCCTTATGGCGTCTGTCCTCCAGTCTGGTGCTGAAATGGGCTGCGCTTGCCGCGCGCAAACCAGCAGCGTTGCGGGGATTTTGGTTTACGGTTTTAAATTACCTTAGGAATAATAACAAAAGGATGGGATGGGGCAGCGGACAGAGGTGTGACTGGAGAAGACTTCGTAATTTAAAAATAAGGAGGACTTGCTTATTTCTGTGTGTCTTGGGCTAGGATGCTCAGAAATGCAAAAATGTAAAGTTTCATCAAGTGAAAAAGTGGATCGTGGACACGCGTTCTCCCACCCTCTCCCCAGCTCCCCACCGACACCCGTTTTTTTCCCTTTCTGTCGCCTCCCAGGCTGTCAAAGGCTGGCAGGGGGCTGGCCGGTTCAGTCGGAGAGAGGGCCTGCTGGGCTGCGCTGGTTTCGCAGTAAAACGCGCCAGTCTTATCATCTGCTCCTGAACCCTCACGGGTGGTGCTTCCTTCTCATAGAAAACTCAGTGGCAGACACCTCAGAGAGGCAGGGAAGGGACTGGGGCTCTTTGGCTGGCTTTGATTCTCTGGGGAAATCCTTTTCCTGATTTTTGGATTGTGCGGGGGAAGGGAGGCACCCCACCTTCTGATCTGGCCCTGTTCCCTGCAGACTACTGTGGGAGCAACTGAGGTGATAAATGGAAAACCTGTTTCAGTCCTGAGAAACAAGACAGGGTACATTGTAAACTGGCAATTATTTTTGAAGTGTGGGGTTGGCTGAGTTATCAGTTGTGATGAGACATGGATATCGCACGTCATAACTAGTTCATGTAAATACAAGGTTTACTGTGGTGCTTCCCTAGTTAATGAGTGGCCTCACGTTGAGGTTATTGGGCTGAAATGACTATTTAGGACAAGGCGCTTCCTGTTTTCTCCTCCACCCACACATGGCTCCAATCCTCAGCCTCCTTAACATCCAGTTGCTCAGGGAGAGCCCCTGGAAGATGTTTGGCCAGCTGAGAAAAAAGCACTGCAGAAGGGTCATTCCCAGTAGTGCCGTGATTGGCCGGACAATTGCCTTTCACACATCTCATGCAAGGCGGTGGTGGAGAAACAAGGAAAAGGCTTTTCCTTATTTTCATTGTACAGTTTTTATAGCCAAAATGACAATCCATGGTGCCCCCCAGATCTTGCTACATTCTTTGAAATGGTGAGAACTGGACCCTGTCCTCTTGTTCCCCGGGTTCCCAGGAAGCAAGTGCCTGACAGCTGTCCCTGGAGGATGAGGTTGGGCTTAGGAGTGATTGTGTATGATCTCTCTCTCTCTCTCTCTCTCACACACACACGCACACACGCACACACACACACACACGCTGACTCACCACATAACTACTGCTTACTGAGGAATGCAGCCAAATGGCTGAGAAAAGACTGAAGTCTACTAGACAGATCATTCTCATTTATTTATAGCCACATTTCACTGTCACATTTTTCTTACCTTGTCTCATTTTTGTTCTAGCTGAAGAAGGGAGACTACCTTATAATGCATTATGTGCTAGTACATTGCCCTTTTTTCTTAATGGAATTTTGAAATGTCTTTAAGATATTACCTGATTCATTCTCAGAACACCTTTATGAGAATTTACTAGTATCTAACCTTGCACATTTCTCCATTTTTAATTTTTTTCCACTCTAGACATATTCAGACATCAAGAGGCTTATTAGGTAAGCCTCTTGTTACTCTCAAGTAGAGAGATTGCTCAGTATTCTTAAACCAGAAACTGAAATTTAACTTCTTTCATACACCAAAAATACTACAAAAAAAAATACTTTCAACAATAACCAGCAAAAGAATTTTAACTGTAAGTCAGGAGAAGCTGAATGAGTGTCAGAAAAGAAAAACAGTGAAATCAGTTATAGTGTAGAAATTAGCGTGATGCTACTGAAAGTTCTTGGAGCTTCCCTGATAGCTGAGTGGTAAAGAATCTGCCTGCCAATACAGGATACTCAGGTTCAGTCTCTGGGTTGGGAAGATCTCCTGGCGAAGGAAATGCAACCCACTCCTGTATTCTTGCTTGGGAAATCCCGTGGACAGAGGAGCCTGGCGGGCTACAGTCCATGGGGTCTCAAAGAGTCAGTCATTACTTAGCAACTAAACAATAACAACTGAAAAGTCTTAAGTTGCTGGTTAAAGCCATATGAAGAATAAACCAACTATCTTTTTAAATGATTAGAAGTGAAGATGTGCAAATGAAGTTTCCACTTAGGGAAGAAAGTAGAAGCAAGGAGTACTGCTGGAAGGAGAGAAAATATTATACAGGAAAACAATGGGTACTTAAAAAGAGATTATTCAACAAGCTAGCTGGAGCATTCCAAGTCACTTTAATTGTCCAGGAGCTTTTGTTGCGTCAGGTAGCAGCTGGTGTGCAGTCAGTCTTCCTGGTGGAAACTGGCAAACAAAATGGTGAGTCCTGTGAGGATGGGGAGGGTGTGTTGAGGATATGATGCTTGAGGAATGGGCCCTGGGTGTCCAAGGAGAAGTGAGGAGTGTGGTCAAGCTACTCTGTGCCCAAAGCCCTGATTTTCCCAGGTGTCTGCAAGTCACCAGTGCCCCAAACTGGGAGGACCAGACAGCAGAGGGAGTGTGGGGCAGCCCGGTGGAAGAAAGACCAGGCTTCCTCTGGGCCCATCATGTGGATGATCTCATTTACTCCTCACAGCACACCTGCAAGGTTTCTCTTTGTGTTGTTCAGTTGCCAAGCCATGTCTGACTCTTCACCACCCCATGGACTACAGCATGCCAGTCTTCCCTGTCCCTTACCATTTCCTGGAGTTTGCCCCGAGTTCATGTCCATTGAATCAGTGATGCCATCCAACCATCTCATCCTCTACGCCCTCTTCTCCTTCTACCTTCAGTCTTTCCCAGCATCAGGGTCTTTTCCAATGAGTCAGCTGTTCACATCAGGTGTCCAAAGTATTTAGAGCTTGAGCTTCAGCATCGGTCCTTTCAATGAATTCATCGTTGATCTCCTTGCAATCCAAGGGACTCTCAAGAGGCTTCTCCAGCACCAGAGTTTGAAAGCATCACTTCTTCGGCACTCAGAATCTTTACGGTCCAGCTCTCACATCCATACATGACTACTGGAGAGACCATAGCTTTGACTATATGGACCTCTGTTGACAAAGTGGTGTCTTTGCTTTTTAATACACTGTCTAGGTTTGTCAGAGCTTTCCTGCCAAGAAGCAGTCATCTTCTAATTTCAGGTTAAAGGTTTCTCTTTAACAACAAAACAACAGTGGTGTGCCCTTAATGTCCTTTTTATCCAGGAGTATTCTGACAGGCTTTTTGTGGGTGATGGTGACTTTTTAAACTAACCAAAGGAGTGCATATACCAATCTATGTGTGTGTGTGCATTCACGCATGTGCTCAGTCAGGTCAGACTCTTTGCAACTCTGTAACCTACCAGACTCCTCTGTCTGTGGAATTCTCCAGGCAAGAATACTGGAGTGGATTGCCATTTCCTTCTCCAGGGGATCTTTCTTCCAAAGGAATGATACTTTTGAACTGTGGTATTAGAGAAGACTCTTGGGAGTCCCTTGGACTGCAAGATCAAACCAGTCAATCCTAAAGGAAATCAGTCCTGAATATTCATTGGAAGGACTGAAGTTGAAGCTCCAATACTTTGGCTACCTAATGCAAAGAAGTGACTCATTAGAAAAGACCCCGACGCTGGGAAAGATTGAGGACAAGAGAAGAAGGGGATAGCAGAGGATGAGATGGTTGGATGGCATCACTGATTCGATGGGCATGAGTTTGAGCAAGCTCCGGGAGTTGATGATGGACAGGGAAGCCTGGCGTGCTGTAGTCCATGGGGTCACAAAGAATCAGAGATGACTGAGCAACTGAACTGAATGGGACTTGTGCTGTGAGGCTGAAGAAGTAGATAGAAGAGACAGACGATAGAAGTAATGCTTTAAACATCCCTCTGGGGCCCATGTTATTCTCTCTGCCCCATCAAAGGCAGGCACAACGCAGAGCAGTAGCCCTCAATCCAGTAAGTGGCAGGAACCGTGCTTTCTGCTCTTCTTCTCAGTCCCCGGGCCGCCTCCTGGCTCTCATGTCTAACTAACAGTTGTGGCGCCTTCTCTTCAAGCCCTCCCCAGGGTCACCACCAAAGGAAGAGGAGCAGGGCCGTAGCAGTGGAAGAAGGAAAACATTTTAAATTCTTTCCAAAATTCTTATTAGAGCACCTTTACAGCTATAGCAAGAGGCATTAACGTGAAAAACAAATGTGCCCTCTGTAGCTCCCGGATTCAACTGTAGTTACTTCTTCCCATGTTTCATCACACAGATTTGTAAAATCAAGAGATTTTTGCCAAAGCAATATATGAATATAAAGATTCAAGTAGGAGAACTGGGATCAGAAAA